ATATCATCTCCTTTAATCCTTACAACAATTCCAGTGAGGGAACTGGGGCTTGGAAAGACTAATTTTTTTCCCCAAGAACTCAAACCAAGGTCCTATGACTCTGAACCTACTGCTCTTTGTGATACGTTGAAGAAATAATTTAGTATAGTGTTTATAAGTATAGACTCTGGAGCCAGATTAACTTGAATCTCAGCTGTACTGCTAGCTGTGTGGTTTGGGCAAGTTATTTAAGCTCTCTGTGCCATAGTTCCTTCACCTCAAAGTGGTGAGAATGATAACACCTTGCTCAGAGAGTTGCGAAGATTAAATTGAGTTTCTACAGGGAAGGTGTTTCAAAATGTGCCTGGAACATATTGTTATTAATGATCAACGTTTATTATTGTGTCATGAAAGGGCTGAGATCTAAGTCAGCATCTACGTGTCAGACTCTCCCCCAACTCACGTTGCAGAACTGGTGCCCACCATTAGCAAATGGGAGGAAGTCATTCCATTGGCTGCAGGAATGAGCCAAGCTGCCCCAAGTGTCAGATTTACTTCTGGAAAGAAGCAAACCCATGCTAAGCAACTGGTTCATTAGTGAAGAATTTAATCATGTATGGTGTGAAAGAGAAGGGAAGGGTTTCTTTCATTTCTACCTGTATATGTGGTCTTGAGGTGTGAGGTGGGAAACTAACTGAGCATCCTGTATAGTTTCCTCTTGTTCCTGAAGTCAAGACATCAGATTACACAGAGCTGAAAAGTTAATCTGGAGAGTTCTAAGTGGACTCTTATTACTGAGGCTCTAGGCTAGTGTGAGTCAAAACTATGATTTATGGAGATTTCTTTCCAGATGTTGAGGCCAGCTAATGTGGATATACTTGGGCATATTATGTATGTAGTATCTACTTTCCTGATGCTGCTCAAAATGAGGAAACAGAAAAGGAGGCCCTCAGCTTTGAGATTTATTGTTGTTGTTGGGAATATAGTAATGCCTACTGGTTGCTGGAGAGAGGTAGTATCTATACCTCCTCCCTTTTTCTGTTAATTCCTTTCTATCATGAAAAACATTTATAGTCTGGTTTCTTCCTTCTGCTTCCATCTAGCCTTAGAACTCCTCCTTTCTTTTTTTCCACTCTTTCCAATCCAGAGCGAGGGACAGGTAATCATTGTGTTAAAGCTACAGTGAGATGATTTGCTAAGTCACTTATTACACCTCACCTCCTGGGCAGTGGAGGCTAGGGAGCACTGACTTTGCCATGTGAAAGGAGTGCAGAGGATCCTAGGTTGACGGCCAAATGAATACTTTGATCTCAGCGGCCATACTCAGGGATGACTGGTTAGGTGATTCCTTGGTCAGCTCCAGCTTATAAGCAATCCTGAAGGTGAAAGGACCATTTTCTGCCAGTTGGGCAGCCTCTTCTGAATATAATTTGTGGGGTGGACAGACTATGGTCTGGTGCCAATCTTTTTCTTTCATTTGGTCCCTATTCTTTCATTTGGTCCCTATTCACAAAAAAAAAAAAAAAA